GAAGGAAGGAGTCTGAGAAAGACGCATCTGCTGTAGAGGCGGAAACTTGGGGCACAGGACTGACACCAGTGACAGGAACTAAGGGGATTTCCATGTGCTTGCTCACAGCTCTGCCCGCTAAAGGTTGTGGACCTTGATCTTTGTCGCCACCTGCAGGCCGAAGACTATGCTGCAGGTTCTGAGCACCAGAGATCTTGGGGTGTAGAGAGACTGCTAGCAAAAGACTGGGGGACGCTTTTGGTTATACAAATGTATAACCCCACTGGAAATGCCAGTGCTTCTAACTAAGACAATAACCTTTCTGTTTATGCTCTTGTTCATTTCTGTTCTGTTCATTCTGAAATGGTTGCATGTTTTAGCAGAATGGCACCCCATTAAAGTTTTCTTCCTCACTTTCACTTTTCCTCCCTAAATCTGGGTTTACACTTGCCTGAGAATGCACGGCATTGTGCAGCCGTGGGGTTTTGTGTCCCAGTGAGAGTAGCTGTCCGCATGGCCTACAGTAACATGTGGTAGGATCATGAGACGAAAGTGTGGTCAAAAGGGAATGTGACTGAATTCTGAATCCCTCTTTTGTGACGTTGCCCCTGAGATTCCTGAAATAAAGACACAGCTGTCTGTGTATCAACCACTGCCCATTCTGTAGCCTTTTGTGGGCACACACAGAGCACATGCACACATAGTACACACGCACACAGAGCACACACACACACCCAGACACTCATGCATACACACATGCACACAGCACAAGCACATATGCCCACAGATACTCATGCACACATAGCACACATGCACACCCAGACACCCATGCACACACAACACATGTGTACATAGGTGGACACATGTTCATACGTGCATATGTGCACACCACACACACAGGCGCACACATATGCACATGCACACACAACACACACATGTGTTCATGAGCCCATACACGTGTGTGCACTGACACACATGCCGCCACATTCAGGACTTCTTTCAGGCCTGTATGTGGTCATCCCCTCTGCTTGAACCATCCTGACCTGTCCACACCTCCCAGAACCTCACCTGGCAGCCCGCATACAGAGAGGGTAGCACACTGCATTCCAATCACATGCCTGCTGTCTCTGGCTCTGATCTTCCAGTTCACTCTAAGATATAAATAGTGGGTAAGAACCAAAGTGTGTCTCTCCTGGAATTTACATAATAATAGTTCTGACAGGCTGGTGTGGTCACCAGGGAGAAGGAGGAATTTAAGGGACAAGCCTTGGGAAGTGGCATCTCTGAACAGCAGCTGTCAGAAGTTACTTCCATCTCTTACCCTGAAATCCCTAAGGCCAGAATATCCAACGTTGTTTCTACCAGAGCCTGGCAGGCTCCCTGAGTGCTGGTTGCAGTGCCTCCCAGTCATTCTGTGGAAAGCAGTCGATAAGTGTTGGCTTTTATTCATAAAACTGTGTCTTTACAATGTAGAGTTGCGTCTTCTGAAGTGTACCCTCTTCTTCTCTGAGCACTAACACAGAACTGGCATATATTAGATGCTTGGAAGGTTTTTACTTAAGCCCACACAACTTACCTTCGCCGGCCCTTCTCTTGTGAGTTGTGCCCATGGCCACCCACAAGAACTTCTCTACTCGTGGGCGCCACTCAAGTTGGGTTACGTTGAGTGACTGTGAGTGAAGGAGATGAGCAGCCATAGGAAGGGATAGGTCAGGCCAATCTTGGAGCAGGGCACCAACACTGACCCCAGGGCAGCACCAAGCAGAAGGCGGGTGGGAGAGGGGGGCACAGAGGAAGCTGCCTGACCTGAGGCCCTGCTGGGTCCCTTGTTGACATTGGAACATGGCTCCTCCAGGCCTCCTGGGCACAGTCCAGCCTCCTGCTCAAGGCATTCACAGTCAGGCCCCATCTGCCTTCGTTCCAAATTTTTAGCAACTGCTCAGCCACCAGCCCTGGGTCATGGCCACATGGATGATTTGCCTGTCCCAGGTGTGCTAGGGGCTGTCGGTCATCAAATCCACTACTCATTCTCTGCCTGGAAAGCCCCTACCCTCTCTGCCTGGAAAGCTGTTTTTTCCTCAAGGCCCAGGTTAAATGCGCTTATGTTTGTGGTGCTCTGTGCAGCCCCCTCTGTCGGCACCACCCCTGCACTGCAGTGGTGTCTGTCCCCTTGCTGCCATAGCTGTCCTCACACTGTGTTGATGTGACCCACACATCAGACGAGCACTCCTGACTCATCAGCTAGGAGTCTACTGAGAGGGTACCTGAGAGGATTGGGTGGGAGACTGGAAAAGAAAGAGACTAGAGACGAAAGCTGGGAACAGGAGGTCCACCCAATGCTGATAGCAGAGAGTGGCCCCATTTATTGTTTACACACAGCTTTTATAGCAAAAGTAACTTTCCTAGGTAGGGGGGTTTTGGGAACTTGAAGGGAATAGTCCCCCCCCTCCCAGGGAACACCTCCCCTGGGGCTTTCCATAGGGTGTAGGGAAGCAATCTTCCCAGAGTGAAGCAAAACACAGCAAGCAGTAACTGTTCACAGGATGGCATTCCACTCTGTAGCTTTCAAGGCCATTGGCAGTTTTCTCCTCAACGGCCAACCTTCTCACACTGCTCACCAGGGCCTGAGAGCCTGTCAGCCTGCCAGCTTTCAGGCTTAACCCTTACTATAAACCTCCAGCTTTCAGGCTTAACCCTTACTATAAACGACCTCTGGATCCCTACACTGTGTCCCCTTGCTGCCATAGCCATCCTCACACTGTGTCCCCTTGCTGCCATAGCTGTCCTCACACTGTGTCCCCTTACTGCCATAGCTGTCCTCACACTGTGTTCCGCTGCTGCCATAGGTGCCCTCACACTGTGTCCCCTTACTGCCATAGCTGTCCTCACACTGTGTTCTTTTGCTGCCATAGCTGTCTTTACACAGTGCCCCCTTGCTGCCATAGCTGTCCTCACAGTGTCCCCTTGCTGCCACAGCTGTCCTCACACTTTGTCCTCTTGCTGCCATAGCTATCTTTACATGGTATCCCCTTGCTGCCATAGCTGTCCTCACATGGTGTCCCCTTGTTGCCATAGCTAGGGATGAACCTCAGTTACACAGAACACTCACTCAGAAAGCACGGAGTTGGCCTGACAGGTAAACACCAACCCACGGAGAGGCAGGCTCTAGACTATTAGAGCCACGATGCCCATCAGCTCTCTTCCATTCAAAACCACCTGCTGGACCCCCCAGCACTTAGAGTGAACCAAAGCCACTGAGGCAGCCCAGTGGGCTTGCCCACCTCCTCACCCCTCCATCACCCTCCAGCCTCCAGCCCCACCTTCCATGGCCATCAGAACACCCAGCCCTCTCCTCTCTCAGGGTCTGTGCTTTGCTGCTCCCCCATCCCCCTCCTCACCATCACCCCACTCCTTCCTGTCCTTTGGCCTCAGCTCACATGTCCACTCCTCAAAACAGTAGAGTCACCTCCCTGACTACTCTCTCTGTCACCATGAAGAGCCACTGCCCTTACCCTCCATCAGGTAAGTTGCCCATGCTCTTTTCTTGTTTGTTTATTTACTTGCTTAGTGTTTTCTCTTGGGAGCTTGGTTTGCTGTCCCATTCTGCCCCCAGCTCCTGGACTGTGTGGCATACATGTTGTGGAAAGCACTGGGGTCTTATGGACCCTGGCACATGCAGCAGATAACTTCACTCTTCTTCGTGCAGTCCCCCACCTGTCAGACGGGATGAACAGCTTGCCTTGCAGGGTCATTCTGGGTGCAGACCAACTGCCCTGAGATGGACGCCCTGGCAAACAGCTGCCGTCATGAAAGGTGAACGGTTGTATGGCCAGCAGCCCACCCTTCTAGCCAACACCATGGGCTCTGCTCTCACTGTAGGGTCCTCAGCTGCTGCCTGCCCCTTCTCACTGTCACCAGAGGCAGGATGGGAAGGGGGATCCTCTGGCACATGGAGCTTGGGCATGAGCCAGTGGATAGAGGCCCCAGGGCTTACCTGCACAGCAGTGGCCCACATTGGGGTCTCCAGCCAGGAGTAGGCCATCCATCATGTACAGAGCCTATTAACCTGAATCCTTAACGCTAGAAGAGGAGGGCATTGCTGATGGCACACTATGTATGTGGGGTGAGAATGGGGCTCCACCCAACCTGGGAGCAGTAAGGTCCAGGTCTTAGGCTGTAATGCCTCTTGGGTATTTCAGGCTGTGCCTCCCTTACCAGGCATGGGTGTTGCCAAAGCCTTCAGTGCAGTAAGGGCACCCGTGCCACCTGTGTCACTGTAGGGTGGGGCAACACCTTTCCACCCTCTTCTGTAGTAACTTCCTCATGATGTTGAGTTGTCTCCAGGGTACAGTGAGGCATGTCCAATTTTTCTGGGCTTGCCCCAATTTTTCTAGATGTTTATTCTCTTTGTAAGGGGATCAACTGGGTGTATAATGAAGTGTGATTTGCTTTTCACATATTTTAAAGAGTGTTTAATGGAAGAAAATCTACAAATCGGGAAAAAGAATCCTATGTGATGGTAAGTATGTCCCATGGCCCTTGCCCAGGCAGGTGAGCTCTGGGGCTCCCAGGTCATGGGTGCCAAGTGCAGACAGCTGGAGTGGGCCTGATGACAGTCACTGGGCTTGGCTGTGGTTCTCAGGATGGGCCTGGCAGGGTGAGTATGTGCCCAGGCTGGGGAGGAACCTGGTGAGCAAGTGTTTGTCACATCAAAGTCCTGAGGCCCATTAGCTCGTAGCCTAGCTGGTTTCAAAGATGTTCCTCAGCCACTCTCAGGCCTGGGGAGGCTGCCTTGTCTCCCAGGGCAGGGTCTCTGGGCCACTGCCACTGCCTCCAGGATACTTTCCTTCTCAACAACAGCTAATTATAATGTTACTGGGAAAATGACATTGAACACCTTGGCTCTTCATCTTTTTGAAGGAATGAATTCAATCAAAAGACAGAAATTTATGCAGTGTGAACAGCAAAAGTTTATTAGTAAAATAAAGTACACTCTGAGATGTGAAGTGGGCTGACCCAAGGGAGGAAAGCAGCCTTGCCTTACATAGCATGGGTAGAATTGCCAACCCTCTCCCTTCTCTTATCTCTTTCTCTCCCTGAGGTGCAAGGTCCTCTGGCATTTAGCAAAGCTTTTCTTTAATTTAGGGGCCTGTGTAAACACACCCTTTTGATTTAGAGGATGAATAAACATATTCCTTTGATTTAGAGGCATGGGTAAATACATCCCCTTGGTTTGGTGGCATGTGTAAACACATCCCTTATGGGTATGTGTAAACCTGGAATCCTGTTGGGCTAGTGAGGTATTGGTGACAAACAGGATGTGTTGATAAGCAGGATGTCTTCTTCTCTTAACAATACATTTCTTTGATTCGGGGGCATGGATACACACATCCTCTTGATGTTGGGGGATATGTACACACATCCCTTAGCAGTGTGTGTAAACCTGGAATGCTGTTGGGTTAGTGAGGTATTGGTTGTCCTGACAAACAGGATGTATACTCCCTTCTGTGATTCCTAACAACATATCTCTTTGATTTAGGGGTATGTGTGAGCCTGGAGTCCTGCTGGGCAGCTACAAGCGGTCTTGACCCAAGTAGGAACAGCAGCAAGGGGTTTTATAACCAGGGCAAAATTTCTCTTTCTCCTGCTCATTTCTATCTATCTACCTACTCTATAATTAATAATACCCTTAGCTGATGACTATAGGTGTTGAAAACAGGTCCACTTCTGCAATAGAAAATAAAGGTCTGAAGAGCTGGGCCACCAGGACCTTGCATAACACACTAGCCAGCAACAGTCTGCTTGGAGAACTGAACCTACAGTGCGGCATCTGCTTTGTCCTCTGCATGTTTTGGGCATGTGTCCTGCCCTCCAGCCAAGTAGTAACTCCCTGGGGCCCTGACTAGCCCCCAAATCAGGACAGGACGGGCCATGCGAGAGTTGAGGACAGGTACCCAGAGGCCAGCTTACATAATTTTCATCAAATTTCATCTCCTTCCTCAAAGGGCTGGAGGTAGTTTACAGCATAAGTCATGACACTGAAAAGTAAACGGTAAGCAAACACCCAAATTTTGGAGGAGGTTTAACACAGGCGAGACTTGGAAGCCCAGGCTGAGAGTAAGGACCACAGAGACCACATACAAAGGTGTCCCCGAGGCTCAGTGTTGTCTCTGAGCTTTCAGAGAGAGTGGAACATACACAGGATGTGCAGTCTGGGCCCTGGCTCTGGGTGACATCAGGGAATTCGTTTAACCTCTTTGAGCCTCAGTTTCCAGATCTATAAAATGGGCTTTGTAACACCCCCTTGTAGATTTCTCAGGATGGAGGCAGGACAGCATTATGACTGGCATCTTGCGGGATGCTCAGGAAAGAACTATGCTGTTGGGTGGTGACTGAGCCTTATTACCCAGTACTTGAGGTTTCTAAGGTGAGAGGGGGGGGCCTTCTCCCTCTGACTCGGCCTCCTTCCCTTTCCTGTGTCACCCTGGGCCCCTCCCTGATTGGGAATGGAATGACTTACACGTGGGGAGGGAGCACACCCCTGCAATCAAACATGACTGGTCCTTGCTGAGGGGAAGAGGAGAAGGGCTATCAGAGGAGGAGGGCAGTTGGGCGGGGTGACAGATACCCATGCACTCAGAATTCCCATCACAGTTTGGAAAGTCCCACCAGGCTGCTGATTCATAACTGGGACCCAGCATCTACCGAGGTCTCCCCAACCCCACACACCCCAGGAGCTCCAGCCGCCCTCACTGGGGCCGTCTGGGAACAAGTCAGCTTGTGACTGTGTCCCGGGAAACCGGAGAACAAGTTCCCATAAGCCTGTGAGCCAAGGGCACCGCTCAGGGCTGAACCTGGGTAGGCAGGCAGGAGCCTCACAGCCGTCATCATGTCCCTGCCCAGCTCTAGAATTCAGAGGCTGGCCGTTTCACCCCATCTGGCCCAGACTTACTGTCAGAGTGAATATCACTTCTCTGTGGAAGCTAAACCCCCCTCCAGGCATGTAATTTCTTCTTGTCTTCCCAGCGGGACACTCAGGGCTGGCTTTGATTTCCCTGCTTCAAATGTCACCCATCCTCACTGCCATCCACAGGTCACTGAATAGCAAACTATCAAGTTAAGTATCTAGTTCTGCCAAATTAATTGTCAGCTCAAAGTAATAACTCAGACATATAAGGTTGGCTACTACACCCAGCGAACATGTGTGCTACTCCTGGGCAAGGCATGGGGCTGTGCAGCAGGTTGGACTGGCAAGGTTGGCTTGTATACTCAGTGCTATACCAGTTTTCTTGCCACCCTAGAAACCCCCTTTGTTCGGGGGCTTCCAACTTATTGTCATTGGAATAAGGAGATGGGCAGGGCAGTACTTTTCAAAACTGAGTTTCACAATGACATTTTACACAGAAATCTAATGGAGGTCATGGGGACAGTGTCTCATCCTAGCAGAGCCTTGGCCATTGGCCACTGACCTTGCTGCAGCACAGCTCCTGTCTCTGCCTCCATCCCCATACTGCCTTCTGCCCTGGGCCTCCTCTGAGTCTCTGCATGTTCCCTCCTCATCACACAAGGACAACAGGCAGGCCGGATGGAGGGCCGCCTGATGTACCATAACCACTTTGCTGATTATACCCGCACAGGCCTATGTGCAAGTGAGGCCGCAGCCTGAGGTTTCCAAGACACGAATTTTGGCAGACAGTATTCACCCAGTGCAGGAGGCCCTTGGAGGCTGAAGTGTCAGGGGCCGTGGCCACTCCAGGCTACAGCGCGGGAGACTCCAGCCACATGACCCAGCACACCTTTCTCTGTCTTCATCGATCTCATTCGATCTCATTCCTGCTGCCACCACAGAGCAGTCCACTTCAGATGTCACCCCATGGAAGGCGGAGCAGAGTACAGCCAGAAATAATGTCTGTTGTGCTCACCTCAAGACTAATTCTTCTGACTACGACGTAAGTCATCCATCATCACTGTTGAACAACAATCATGTACAAATAAATAAAAGGAACAGAAATAAAAATCCCCTAACATACCAGCACCCAAACCCTGCTAAACTGGAGTAAGCTCTTTCAGACCTTTTTCTGTACAAAAATATACAGATAGGTATTTTTTTATTAAAATGGAATTCCATTTTAATTATGCCACTTTGTATGCCACTTTGTAACTTGCTCTTGTCACTTAATATGTCACGAGTATCTTTACAAGTGAGTAGACTCCAGTCTCTTGGATCTTAATTGTCCTTCAGGTCTCAGAAGGAGTGCCATGCAGCCCACCCTTGGTCTTCTGAGTTGGAGCCACCTCTTGGGGACCACCACCCTCTCCTGTCCGTGGTGAGCATGAGTGGGGATGGAAAGGATACTACATGGCAGCTGAATTAAAAGGAACAGAGGGGCTGCACCTTGAGTCTCCAACTCTGTGACCACCTCCCTCTTCTGTGCAGGGGTGAATGACAGGACCTCAAATGGGTGGCTGGTGGTCTTAATAGGTTCAACTGGGGACAGACTGGTCTAAAGAATCTCCCCACCCACCACTCAACCTTAAGGAAACTATGATGTCATGTGGTGGGTTTTGCAAGTTCCACAACAGCAGGGCAACCCAGCAGGGAGAGACTGGACTAAGCCCCAGACCTCAGGGTCTCCCCTAACTGGGAACTGGGAGGGAACAGTGGCCATGTGCCCAGCCAGTCAGGTGGGGTCTGGGATCCAGTGGGGGTAGTTACCTGGGGGGCCAGCCAGCACTGCCTTAGTCACAGTGCTGGAAGTAGAAGTCTGTGATGGGGTGGCCCCTACCAGCATCCCCCGGGAGCTGGGTGAGTCCAAGAGGCTGGTTGGCTTGGGGCACCCTGCACAGGAACCAGCCTGGGAAGGCAACAGACTTGAAGCTGGAGGTACGCCCCGTGTCCTGCCAGTAAAGGTGAAGCCCCCTGGACTCCTTGGGGCTGCGGTAAAGCTCCATGATTTCCACTGGCTGTGAGAGAGCACAAGAGAGGGGCGTGAGTGGTGGCTGGGGCCTGGTTCCAGAGTCTGCGGCTCAGTGAAGAGAAATGCCTCACAGAACTCACCTCTAGTTTCAGAACTGGTTCTTGCCCAGTCCCACACGACAGGCACCGGCTCCCTCCCTGTTCACCCAAGATGACTGGGGACAGGTTGACATCCAGAAACCAATTAGGGACAACGCTGATCTCCTCCCCTAGAGGAACTTCGCCAATGCAGGGGCCTTGCCTGCCTCCTTCCCCTCCCATCTTGGCCTCTGGGGAGTAGGTCTCAGCAGCTGCCACATGGAGAAGAGTGGTCTCCCACCAGGTGGCCTAGCGGACATCAAAGCACAGAGCACACTGTGCCACCTCCCACCCCCATGCTCGCCCCCTTGTCCAAGGTCCAATCTTCATGTCTTCCCCAACTCCACGGGGGCCTAACCTCCTTTAACCACCTCCTCAACCCTGCGGCCTCTCCTCAGTTGTTTGGATGTTTTTCTATCCCCTGTGGGAGTCCTGAGAACAAGAGAGGGTCAGTCTTCTCTGTGCCAACACCCCCCAACACATAAGCACCCATGCACACACTGTCCTACATGCACACATGCATGCACCCACACAGTGCACCCACAGATGCATGCACACATGTGCACACACATGTGTGCACACATGTATGGTCTCGCAGATGGTCTCCTGGCCCCAGCGCCCAGTAAGCATGTCCCAGGTAGGCAGGTTGTGCTATTTTGGAGTACAGGCTTGTTACTCTCAGTGTGGGGGACCAGGCCAGATGATGCCACCAGCTATCAGGGTCCCACCACCCGGAGTGACTGGGATCCCCAGAGAGCAGAGGGGACCCAGGGTAAAGCGGCAGAAGCCCACTCCCACAGGGCAATAAAGGCACAGTGAGCCTGCTTAGTTCTGTCCTCAGCACTGAGTACCAAGACAGGGAATGTGTGACCTATGTGCTCTGTGGGGAAAGGACAGCACTCATTTTGGAAAACTTTCCCACCTTTGCAGAGAGGCCAGGCTGCTCTGGGGTGTCTCACTTTGCTGGAAGGGCTATCTGTCCTTGCTCAGAGCCTGGTTTCAGGTGACCATCTGCTGTGTGGGGCCTGGGCCTTGCATGGGAGGGGCCCTGAAACTGACACAGATGAGAGAAACAGGGCTTCTCAGATGACCTCACACCATCCTGACTTCCAGGAACACGCTGTTCATCACCTTTCCTTGGGAAGGAAGGCCCTAGAGACTTCCCGGGGATTCCCATGTCCTCCTGAACACCTGGTTCCTGGACTATAGGCCCTTCCAGACCCAGGGGCTGTTCTCTCCCAGACCCAGCCTAGGGACCTTAGCACAACCTCTCTTTCTCCCCTCTCCCTCCTCCCTCGCTCCTCCTACCTCTCCCCTCCCCCTCTCTCCCCCTCTCCTCCCTTCCCTCTCTCCCTCCTCCTACCCTCCTCCTTCCTCCCCCCTACCTCCTCCCCTTCCCTCTCCCTCAGGCCTATGGAAGGTGCTGGAGGTGCAGCTCTCTGCTCAGGGGATTTTAATCTTCATACTTATTGCAGAAAAACCTGAAAGTCCAGATTGGCAAAGGAGAAAACCTGAGACTTCCAGCTTGAGCACAATCAGAGCCCATGAGCAGAGCCTTCCCTCTGCACATGGACACGAACATGCGTGACCCCTATGGCTCTCACACAGACACACGCAACTCCCACGGCTCTCACGTGACCATGCTGTAGGACCTGCACTATTTCCCACCTGCTCTTCATGGAGCAAAGCAGCGGGGTACCTTTCCACACCAGACAGACTGACGGTGTTGTCACATTCAGTAGCTGTATTTCATTGTGGACATGCAGTGCTATTTATTTATAGCCATCAGTTATTCTTGGTCCTTATATCACTACAATTATTTGCTGTTGAATGTCATGTGTGACAGACATCTGTGTATCAGCACCTTGGCTCACTGATGATTTTCGTAGAAATAAACTCTGTCTTACACTATTCATGATTGATCTTTCTTTAGTCCTTAGTTGGTAAAATAAAATGCAACTGTGTAACAAATTCATGCAGGCTTTTGACATCCTTTACACTCTCTGTGCTGGATTCATGAAAGGCAAGGGTCCACGCATAATAACAAACAATTTAAGTACGTCATGATGACCACTGATAACCATTTACTGGGAAGGTAAAATCTTAGAGAAATTGTGTTCAGGCTTATGGACTAAAAAGTCCTCAAAGCATTCAAGAATAAATGCAATTCAATTCAACTTATTCAAAGGCTAGAAAATAACCTATCATTCACATTAAACCACTAATGTAATCAACGCCTTCCAGAAAAATAATAAATGTAGAGGCTGCTTTATGTAAAACTATTAAGTTGACCATAAATTGACCGAATAAAAATGATACAGATTAAATAATTGCAAAAAATAACAAACCCACCTTCTACCCCCTCCACCCCAAAAAAGAAATTTCAGGAGCTGGCCTACAGGCAAAGTGCTTTCCAGCAAACAAGCTTTTATTTGGTAAGTGATCATAGAGAAGCGATTTTGTCTCACCTAGAAGGTAAAATGCCATCTGCCCGGCTGCCTCCTCTGAGCCCCTTGACACCAAGTGAATTTAACATGTGCCCACAGGCCACTTGTCCGGCTTCACAACATTCCTTCCTCATTCTTTCTGACAAGGAAAAATACCACAACATGCCCCACAATGGAGCCAGCTTAGAGTGCGGGCAGGTGTCACCTAGCTCTGTCTGCACATCACTAGGGACAGACACAGAATGAATGGGTGAGATGAGAAGGTGGGAGTGGGAGTGGGAAAGAGAAAAGTTCTCCACACTTGACAAGAAGACAAAATGATGAGTGCGTGTGCTTTCCATGTCCTGCTGGAGCATTGTCAGGGCACCTTTCCTTGACATTAATTACTATTGATGAGATACCAGGCTCTGTGAAGTTAGATGTGAACTAAGAGAAGGTTGACAATTTCCAGGCTATTTCTTCTTGATATAAATGATAGCCCCAAAGAGCACAGCTTTACTTCCTTGCAATTAATTGAGCATTTTATTTAATCTAAGCAAGCCAACCTATCCCACAGTTCTCTCCTCTGTTCTGAATTACTTGTGGATCAGCTTTGTAATCCTGCTGGCCCCTTCATTCATTATAATGATAAATCTTTGACACAGGCTCACTGTGCATTTGTATGAGTCACATTTTGGACGTTCTGAAAATTAAACTGGCCTATCTAAGACAGTGCTATTTTGCCTCTAACTCACATACCCTGTGTGGTGGTTTTAAACATGTCACAAATTATCTGATAGTGAAGCTAAAGTGTGTGCTGCACTCAAAGATGTGCTCTGAAGAACAAGCTGCCTGGTGGAGCTGACAGTGTGCTCAGTCCTAGGCCAGATCATAAAGGGCACTGCAGCCTCCTCCTTGATCTTTCCTGCATTGCTCACCTGGGGAGAAGCCCCCTGGCCTGCCCCCAGAACACCTAGGTGGCCTGTGGAGAGGTCCCTGTGAGGGAGTGGTCTTAAACAAGCCACCAGCTACAGCCAGTTCTCTGCTGACACAGCAGTGGCCGACACCTGCGACCTCGCGTGAAGCCTGAGCCAGATCCCAGCAGTACCACTGCTCTGACTTCTGATTCTGAGAGCCTGTGAAATGACAAGGCCTTGCTCAGTATGGGATGTTTGTTACTCAGCAGCAGGTACCAAGCACAACTTGCTCTCACCTGGGGCACTTTCTCCTCCTGTTGTCTTTTTCTTCTCCAGAGTCTTCAGTGCGCACCCTCCCTTCTTAGGAAAATCTCAGTTCTTCATTGACTTCACAACCATGGAGGTGCCCCAAAGCTGTCCCAGCCTGAAGAGGGATGAGGTCCCCATGGGGCTCTCTCACCATTCTGTGAGAGTGGGGAGAGCAGATGGGGACTCACTTACACGCATGGCCACACCTGTGTAGTGTGGAAGCACGAGCTCACAAACAGCTCATTATAGCAAAATAGGCACCTTTGTTGGAAAGGTAAGTTTAACAGTAACTGAAGTAACCAGTGTTCACTGTCCCCACAACTGTGTTTAGTGTTTTGCCTGACCTTTCTTGTTCTATGCTCAGGACTGCGTTATGTGCTACTATTATCTCTGGTCCCTTGGTGTGCAAACCAAACATAGAGACATTAATTATGTTGCCTGATGTTAGTAAGACCAGGAATTGGCATCAGAACCAAATCTGGGAAACCTCAGTCTAAAGCTACCAACCCCAAGACACACCACCCAGTGACAGTGATCCTTTCACAGCCTGCATCTGATCTTGTCATGCCTGACAAAAAGGCATGTCTCCACTATGCTGCACGATCCACAAAACCAGCCTCCAGGTAGCTCTTGGCCTCTGTTTTCATGTCCCATGCAGCAACCTCAGACCACATGGGCTTCCTGCTCCTGCCACAGGACCTTTGCACTGGCTGTCCCTCTGACTGGAGCTCTCCTCCAGGATGCCACATGGCTCACCTCCTGGCCTCCTAAAGTCTTGGGTACAATGTTGTCATCTTCTCAGAGACCTACTTTACTGGGTTGTCATGAGGACGGGAGGAGACAGAGGTTGAGAAGAGCCGGGTCAGCACTTAGCACAGACCCACAGACACCTGTCCCTTTTCCCCAGTGTGTCCCCTCCCACAGTCCTCCCAGGACACTGAGAATGTGGCAGAGGTAGGTTTACATTGACCTAAATCTGAGGCTCGTTGGAGACAAGTCTCATGTGCCACTGGCCTGGCTGCATGACTGTGGCGAGCACTATGGGGTCACATACAGGGAAGGTGAATGCTTGCTGTATGCTCACTGTGTCTGGTGCTCTCTCAAAGCTGGACAGCCTTGTGCACAGTCCTGTGAGGTACCAGATAAAACAAATGAGGCTTGGGGAGAGTCCCCCACCCCAAGTACAGACTAGTAAAAGACAGACAGTACTGGTGTCCTGGCAGCTGAACCCTGGGACTCACCCCCCACCTCGCCCCACTGTAAAGTGTGGTGCTTCTGGGCTCAGAAATAGGGGGTGGAGGGCAGAGTGGGTGGAGACCACTCCCAGGAGCTCCAGTGCAAGGACTACCAAGGGTGCCTTCAGGAAAAACCATGGGAACCAGCAGACTTGATCCAGAGACACAGACAGGGTGTGACACACTAGGGACGAAGGGAACCCTCCTCTCCCTGGGGTGACTTTGGAGGTGCAAAACACTCAGCATGGGACATGAGGCCTTCAGGGAGCTGCCCGCACACAGAGACCTCCTGCCCATCTCCAGTCACATGCTGGGGTCACTGTGGGGAGCAACAGAGGAGAAGCACCACCAGGCTCAAGGCACATTAGAGGCATGGACCCCATGAAATCACAAAGGCCATGCTCAGCGAAACGTGTTTGCTGGGCTCCAGGACAGTGAGCTAGGAGGGCACCCCACAATGTGGGGTGAGGCTTGGGTGTGTGTCATACCCACAGGCAGTTTCTGCTGACTGAGTCACTAAGGGCAGGGCTAGCTGCTTCCCTTGTGTGCACCACGGAGGCCTCAGGGCCTGGGGACTCCTCCCCGGTCATGGGGTTTGGCCATTGCTGGACCTCTGTCTACCCAGCAGCTTTGACTTGAGCCAGACTGGAGCTGGACATGCAATCAAGCAAAGCAAACATGGAAACCTCAGTCTTGAGACTTCAGACTCCCTTTATCTCTGTGGACTCTCAGCTCTGTCTCCTCTGCTCAGAAAGAATTCCAGGCCCTCCCAGGTTTTCCCTCTGATTATTGGGGTGCTCCCTGCTTTAAAACTGTTTCATAGGTTTTATCTTTTTTCTTGTATTTAGTAGATTCAGGTGAGACATTAATTTGGTTCTTGTTACCCCATCTTTCTGGAAGCAGATAGACAGAAACCAATTTGCATGTACAGTGGGATCTCAGAGTCACTTTTGAGTGATGTGGATGAGCCAGGCCCCCAAAGTACCTGGTGAACAACTCTTGTCATGATTCATTGTGTGGCTGGAGACATAATCCACAGGCAGAGGAAGCCATTGCCAGATCACAGTGAGGGCACAGGTGACAATTGCAATAGATGTGGTCTTCTGGTACAAGGGTGGCACTCAGGTATGGAGAAACAAAAACGCTCAGGCTGGTGCCTGCTCTGGGCCTGTTATCACCTGGTGGGAACAGGTTATGTTCACTGTCACATCAGAGGGGAGTGTGGACAAGCATCACTGGGCTGGGATCTAGGGGTTGGCCAATTTCCTCAGTAAAGGGCCAAATAGTAAACATTTTAGTTTTTTTCAGCCATATGGTCTCTGTGACAACTGTTCATGCTTTTTGTTTGATTTATTCTCTTTTTTGTTACATTGAATTTTCTTTTAATGTGCTAGAGCCATACAATCTTATTTTTATTCTTCTATTAGTTAACTGAAAATTTTGATACACATATTCAAACTCATTTTTTTCTCTAAAAATTCATGTTTATTTGTTATTCAGCATGCTATATTGTACAAGCCCTAACTCGGTATTAATTTTATGTGCTTTAAATAAATTAGATTTTTATTTCTTAGAAGAAGTGAGGGATTAAGATATCCAGGTCAGTTTAGACCTGGTGTCAGCACACTCTGCCCCATGGGCTTATTCTGATTTACCAGCTGGCTCTGTACAGTCTTTGAGCTAAGAATGTATTTTTTTACATTTTAAATGGATGAAATAAATTTTAAAGAGAAATAATATTTCATAGCAGTGAAATTTATATGAAATTTAAATTTCAGTGTTCATAAGTAAGGTTTATTATAACATAGCTTTGCTCACTGACTTCTGTCACAGGGGAAGGCAAAGTGTCATGGACCTCAAAAGAGATGAGATGTTGCACCTGGTTAGGGAAGTGATGAGAGGATTCTATACACTTCATACAGGTGTGTGTGTGTGTGTGGGGGGTTTGGAGACACAGGCAGGTGCGATATCAGGGGTGAGAGTGTTTGACATGTTTGCAAAAGCACGAGAGCAGACATGGAGGAAAGCAGCTCACTTTAATTGAGTCCGTCTCAGCCTAGGTTTACACCAGAAAGCAGAGCCTGACACAAGGGTTAGCATGTGGGATGGTGTCCCAGAGAACAAGAGTAGGGCCTGGGGAAACTGAGGCAGGGAGATGTGGAAAGCCAATGCAAGAATGTGCTCTTGGGCTCAATGCTGCCATGGGTGATGATGACTCAGTCCTGCTGGGACCCTCTGAAGACCATGTAGATGGAATGCACATCAGCATTTCCCATGAAGTGCTGGAAGAGGTAGCACTGTCCCACCTACTCCCCTCCCCAACCGGTGAAGGTTCCCCACGGAGCAGCTCCCTCTTACTTCCAGGTTTGTACATGTGTGGCTGCAAGCGTCCTTCACCAGGTGTCCCAGGATGCCCAGAACAGGGAGAGAGAGATGGCTGGTGCAGGGGACACGGAATGCTGTCGGGTTACAGCTACTTGAAATACCACAGTGAGCAGAGAAAAAGGCGGGCTAACAAGCTATCAGGTGAGGTTCAAGGTTGACCCGTGGAGCAGTAGGGGGCAACGCCAGAAGAACAGACCTTGGAACAGATTATGCCTAGCCAAGAAACTTGCATTTAGCAATCGGGACCTGTCACAATACCTGATACTCCTGCTTGTCATGTGAAAAGAAAGGCAAGTTCTCCTGAGGGAAGAGCCTGCATGCTCACACTCATGTCCAGGATATCACAGTCAGTTGCAGTTGATGTGTGATTGGTGAAGTGAGTTTGTAGACTGTATCACAGGCTTCAACTAAAGCAACCTCACAAAGTGGACAAGGGGCTTAAAAGCATCCCAAGAAAGAAATTGATTGGAACTTCAAAACTCTCATAGCTGGTGCTTTAGAAAGTAGAAACAAGGACATTACAATAAGTTCTGAGAAGTTGCCAGAAAAAAATCCAAACTAATGTGATTCTTTGAAATATTAATCAATTTGCATTCACTATTGTTTTTTTTAATTTCCTTTCTTTTTTTTGTGTTTTTTTGTTTTACGCATTCACTATTGTTAACAATTACTCTTAAGCAAAGAATATACCATGGGTAACATGATTAACTAATAATTTAAGAATTTGTCAAGATTACTGACATGCAGAATTTTAATCTCACATTCATCTGATTCTTCAGTCTTATCTCTTATAAATATTACAATATTTATAATGAACATTCCTAGAATTAAAAAAACATTTTTATTGAAAGGGCTGTATGAACAAAGGGCTGTATGAATTGGCATTCATATCTCTAGATAATGGGTTGGCAAGAGGAATAGGACGAGAGGGTGCATACAAGGAGCACTTGGGATGTTGATGTCACTGGAATTGGCAGCTATGTGGACGGTGGGACAAGATCAGGAAAGAATAAAAAGTGACTCTTAAGTTTCACACTGGGACAACATTCAAGTGGGGGACATGGTGCACAAGTGCATGTCTTGAGGAGACGGTTATGGCAGTAAGTACGAGATGGTCGATGGGTGGGCACTAGGGCTACGTGGTCTCAAGATGACCTACTGTTTTCAGGCAGAAGTTTCTCTGGTTGCTTGGCCCTCTTCCTGGAACCAGCACCCACTGCCTAGGCCAGATTAACTCCTCAGGGCTGAAATAGAAGTTGGTGTTGTAGGTTTTGCCCTTCTCTTTGGTGAGGATGACGGGCTATCCCACCGTGGAGGAAGTGGCTATAAACCAGCCGGGGTAGGCCACCGACTGGAAGGTAGAGGTGGAGCCCTCGATGCCTCGTAGAAACAGAAAGGGCTTTAGTGCGCTCTTTTCCACATACAGGTCCATGATCTTCTCCTAGGAGCAAGACAGAGGCCTGTTGCAGCGGGTTATTGGGAGGAGGGTGCTAAGCTAACTCAGCCCTCAAGGGATCACTCTCCCCGGGGAAAGGCCAGGCAGAAAGCAGGAGGACACAGGTATCAGAACAGGCCTCCCTCTGGTTCCCAACAGCTTGCCACCCCCCAGACCAGAGATTTCACAACACCAGGGGCTTCTGATCCTTTGAGGGGGCACTTGCTACCCTTAGAACAGCGGTTCACTGCCTCACAGGTGTCCCTGCTTTGCACGTCTGTAGTTCAGGCAGGTGGGCTTGTCCATTACAGCTTCTGTTATAGCAGGAGGATGGGCTTCATGATGACAAATGCTGCTATCAGGGCTGGGACCCAGATGAAGTCTCCCCTTGTCTCCTCTGCTTATGTAGGAGCACCCCATCTCAGAGGAGTTTTGGGGACAGGGAGTGGATGCTGTGACATTGCAATAAGTGTTAACACCTACTGCAAAGGTGTTGATTTGGGGGTCATCCAAGTCAGGTCTCCTTCCTTACATTAAATAATCCAGGATTGCACAAATGTTATTTTCATTCAGTAGTATATTTAGTGAAATAAAATGTCCATGTCCCAGCACTTCTCTCCTTAGCTGCACACAACCACTCACCTTAAGCTGCAGAGTCAGATGGCCCTTATTTCCCCACAGAAGAGGCAGAGGTCAACGTCCTTGAGTCCCAGGTATACCAGGCTTCCTTTTTGTTCATTGTGGGACTCTGTGTCTGAGTAAATAGTGACTGGAACAGAGACAAGGACAGGTGTCTGGCTCCAGGCAACAGGACGCCTGCCAGTCCTGCCTGACACATGGCTGCTCCTCCCACTGGGGTGCTGATCAGCCAGACTCCCCCAATAAGCTACATGGTACAAACCCTGGGTCATGAGCTGACACCCATTCCCTTTTCCCTCCTTAGCATAGAAGACAGTTGTCACCAGGGCACATTGCTTCCCAAAAATTAAAACAGAATTACCTACCACACTTGCAGCTAATTTTGACCCATGCTTAAGCTGTAGCCCATGGGCTATACATGAAAATACTGGGTGGGATTTCTAAGGACACCCTTCAAGGGGAGCTGACTCAGCTGGAAGGACCATTCCTTATACCTGTGTCTTCCTGCTGGACACTTGGGTGAGGGTTGAAGTGACCTCGGGGTTGCTAAGGCACTAGGGTCCCAGCACACTGGCCTCAGCCTGCTCTCAGGCTTCCTTCACATGAGAAAGAATGAAACTTTATCATGGTGGAAGTTCCAGTTACGTGGCTGTCTGTCACCATCAACTGAAGTTAATTCCCACTAAGTGAGCCCAGCAGCCCAGGGGGGTTGGGGGCAGGGAATTCATGCACCCAGCACTGAGAAAGAGGCTCTGTGGAGGCATGGACAGTTAGCTGAGGACAAGGGAGATGCTGTCAACACCCCATGTAAAACAAGAAGAAAGAAGGAAGCAGAGTAATGGCAGAGCCACAGTCAATTGCAGCGCCTTCTTTGAGGGAAGTGACCAGAGCCTGGGACAGTGGGACAGAGACAAAATTTAGGTAGAAAAATCCAGAAAGACCTCTCTGCACAGGTGAAGTCCACCCATGGCCTTAAAGCTAAGAGGAAGCTAGTAAATGAGGAGATGGGGACAGGGGGCTGGAGGAGGTTTGGGGGAGTGTTACAGATAAAGGCCCAGATGGAAAAGAGCGTGTTAAGTTCAAGGCTTCAAAGACTGGTGAGCCTGAGACCCCACCTCTCACCCCCAATTCACAAGCACATAGGAATGACACTCTTCAATTAAGATGGTAAGGTCATTGCCCAGACAACAAATGAGGAGGCTGCCCAAATGAGGGTGGCAGTGAGGACGCGGTATCTGTGGTCCAGGTCAGTTTAGAAATGAGGCCTACTTTGCACAGACTCATCAGTCTTTGTGATGGTCTGGATGGAAACTGAGGAAAAGGAGGAATCAAGGTTGTGCACAGGCTCGGGCACAGGGTGACGGCAATGCCAATCATGGGGGCAGGGAAGACCAAGTCCAGCAGTAGTTCTGAGAACTCAGACCCACAGTTGCACTTGGGACAGATGAAATTAGGTGTCTGAGAGGACATGAAAGGGACATGGCTAAAATGTTTGGAGGAGACATCTGGGCTGGCAGAGGTGACAGAGGTGGTCCATCAATCCTGGAAACTGGCTCGCAGTTCCTCGGGGTGTTATAGTGTGATTGCAGATGTAGCTCTGAGGGTCCCCAGCACTGAGACGTTTTACAGAGAAAGTGAAGTCAGAAAGAAGGGTGCAGGGGAGGACCAGCAAGCCACAGGCAATGTTCTTACAGACAGAAAATGGGGAGTGTTCAGCATAGAAAGTATTGTGAACCATGCTGACTGCCCCTGAGGAAGCCAATGTAAGCACGCAGGGCATGTGTGCTGGCTGACCTTGGAAAGTGCAGCTCGGGGGTGTGGCCAAAAACCAGTTCAGAAGTCAAATGGTTTCATGTAAGCAAGAAGAGGGGCAAATGGGAGGTAGGCAGTATGGGCAGCTCTTCCATGGACCTTGGCTGTGGCTGGTACGCAGAATGGTATGTAGGTCTGTGTGCAGGAATACACAGTGACAATAGGCATCAAATGTGGGCATCAAGACAAGCTTTTTAGCATTAAGCTTGGCAATGTCACATTAGAGCATGTCTGCCAGTGACAGAAAGGACCCAGTGGACAGACAAAGGTGGGGTATGCAGGGACCAGGGAAATAGGATCAAACACTGAAGTCCCAGGGAGGCAGAGGGCTTAGTTGGACTGACTTTTCCCCCCCAGCTTAATTGAGGCATAATTGACATGAGATGGATTGACTTTTGATGGGAGGAAGGAATATGCTCTCATTACTAGAAGACAGGACCCCAGGTGAGACTGTAGGTTTGGGGACATAGGTAGCAAGGGTTGAAATTTAAGAGAGAAGCTCCAAGGACATGGTCAGCTTCTGACTGAATGGATGGTTCCTTTGGATAAGGACAGCTGCCTGTCCCTCACACCTCGTTTCTAGCTACAAGGTTTCCTTTGCGGGAGGGAATTGCCTTGTTCATTCTTGCACTTCCTGTGGACACTAAGCTGGTACCCAGAGGTAGGAGAGGCAATGGCCAGGCCTGTGCAAGCTCAGCCCCAACTCCAGTGGAGCTGGCATCCCTTTAAGAGGCAACAGTGGCATTAATTGTAACTTACCAGGTTTGACATTGCTGCTAAAAGGAACTGCGAATAAAGCATTTCCCTTCAGGACCCACACCACCTGTAGAGAATCATGAATTCTATAGGATCCAGAATTTTCCACTTCTGCCAGGTGACAGACAAACACAAAACACACATGAGGTTGTTATAAACTTCAGGACTCTGGCTACATCCTGGTAATACATTGAACCACCTCCCACCCCAATTCATGGTTTCGCTTCCTGCAGCTTCAGTTACCCTTGGTCAACCGTGGTCTGAAAATATTAAATGAGAAATTTGCAGAAATAAATAAGTCATAAGTTTTAAATTGCACACTGCTCTGATTAGCATGATGAAATCTTGCACCATCCTGTTCCATCCCTCCTGGGACGTGACTCATCCCTTTGTCCAGCATGTCCACTCCTCTCCCATTAGTCACTTGGTAGCTGCCTGGGTTATCAGCTTGACTGTAGCAGTATTGCAGTATTTGTGGTTAAGGCACCCTTATTTTACTTAATAATGGACCCAAAGTGCAAAAGCAGTGATACTGGCCATTCGGATATGCCAAAGAAAAGCCATGAAGTACTTTGTTTCAGTGACAAGGTGAGTATGTACAGGAAAAAACATAGTATATGTAGGGTTCAGTATTATCCGTGGTCTCAGGCATCCCCTGCGGATAAGGTTTTTGAACTCCTGGGGTAGGTTTACTGCTGTAAGAGGGTCTATAACAGGAAAGGCAAGGCAGGTTTGTGGACCCAAGTGTCTGAAAGGATTTACATGCATTCATGGTCCCCAGCAATTTTTAAAGACTTGCCTTTTTTCTAGGGTATCAGTGACTTGTCTTTTCTGATTGATAGTTTCTGGGTACCAGCAAACCCAATAATATTTAAATTGGTTATCAATATGTTGTTTGTTTTTTTCTTTACCCTCTTTATCAAAATAAAGAAACAATTCTAAATGCACATAATAAGAGCTAAATGCACTGAGATTTTCAAGTGTAGCCTCATGATGTGAGTATTTTAGCAAATACATTTGTAGATAAGCACGTGGCAGGGGGCTGTGTGCCCTATTGTTCTTGGTGAGGCAGGATGGAGACATTTCCAACCTGCTTTGTGGGGTAGGCCATGCTGGCTTCAGAGCTCTCTGTATAGAGGACAAGGTAGATCAGATGGCAAGGAGGTTGTCAGCAGCAGGTCTTGTGAAGGAAAGAGGGAAGAAAAACCTGTTATTCATTGCTCCCCCCACTTTCAGGAATTTTATGTAAAAATTCTTTTGAGGGAGCTGTCCTGAGGCCCTGTGCCAGATACACACTTGAGACTAAGGATGGAACAGCATGTTCCAAGTCAGACAACCCTAAACAGAAGCTGCCATTTCCTCCCTGGCTTCTGGTGGTGCTGACTGTGCATGCAGTGATGGCCTTGAGGTGCCCTCTAGCTATCACACCTGGGATTGCAGGAGGATCCACAGTCCCTTCCCCATCTCTCCCCCTCCCCCGCCCCACACACACACCGTCAGGGCAGTGAACCTCTGGGTTTAGACAGAGGAAGAGACAGTGTGTGTCCATCTCCATTCAACCCACCACACAGCTGGTAAATCACCAGTTATCCCACCTTCAAGCTTGAAAACCTGAAATAACTGGCAGCAAATCTGCATGACCCCCACCTCCCCCATTGCCCACCCAAATAGCCATATTGGAGGGTTCTGCCCATTGGCATCCACAGGCCCCATTAGGTTTCTGACTGTCAGGGGACATCTGTCTCTGGGCTTCTGCTTAGGGCACCAGGACAGTTCCCCAAGGAGACCACAGACCCCCATGTTGAGCACCAGTTGTTGGCCTCCTTCTCTGCCTCAGGGCCCTTGGGTCCTGACTCTGTGGTTATCCCTAGTGAGGCAACAAGCAACTCCCACACTGTGAAGCAACCCCAGCTGCTCTGATGTCCTGTGCCTTAGACCCCAGACCCTGGGCCCAGGGGCCCCTCACATCTGGACACCATGCAGTCAAAGAAGTGAAAGTTACCTTTGTTCAGAGACCCTCTTGTCTCTGGGCCAGCATTAGGCTCCACCCACACATAAGGGCTCTGGAAAGCTGTCCAGGACTCTGGGCATTTTATTTTATTTTTTATTTATTTTTTTTTAAATATTTTTATTGGGGAATTGGGGGGATGGGAACAGTGCTGGGGAATTGGGGGAAGGGGAACAGACAAATTGCTGTCGTTTTGTTCTTCAATCTAGTTGTGGAGGATGTTGCTTCACTGGCCCAAGTTGGCACCATCATTGCGCTCTTCTCTGGCGAGACAGATCAGTC